AACCTTATTTTACATCAATTAACCCAACAAGAGGAGCTACAACTGGATTTCCTCATAGGGTGGCAAAAGTCTGATGGGAGGCCACATCCACTTTTTGATACATCATTCACACTTTATATGTGTGCATTAAGCCCTTCTATTCTTTTTCAAAACAAATAGTCTCAGCCTGTCTCTCCCCCTGATGGGGACTGCTTTTTCATGCTGACATCCTGGCTTTTTTAAAATCAGCGGAAGTTTTGCTACTGAATGTAAGCAGGGTCAAGAATTTACTCTCATTTTTTGATCATTTTAGTTAATGATTTCACTTGATCTCTGTATCCTGGATTATACAGACCACTCAGATGAACGCTCATTGTTCCTTTAAGTGAAGTAGTTAACTATGTCCTTATTTTTTCCTCCCCTTTTAACAAATCAAAGTGTTTGATTTGCTCTCTGCCGACAGAGCTGCGAACAGTGTAGCCTCCGTCTCTCTGCACCCTGATTTGCAGTATATTGTATGTTACGGAGGTGTGGAATTGGATTAAAAGCTACAGCACGGTGCTCTGCAGATAAACCCATTGCAGGTGTGCAGTTTAATAGGATTTTAATTTGGTAACAAGTGAACAAAGAGAGGAAGCCTAGAATGGGATTTTCTAGATGAAAAAATGCTATTCGTGCTGAGAGAAGGCAACTGCAAGCTCTGTGATAAGGAATAAAGATTGGGCCAATGCTCTCTGAGCTGCACGTCTATAGATTACGGCTCACTCAGAGCATCTTCGTTACTGCCACCGATTTCAACAATTCTTGGTTCATACGACGTGCGTTTGGCTCTACAGCATTTCATCTGCCACACTCCCCGTTAAGCCAGTGTGTTCAAATCTTCTATTGTCTCACTCCCCGCCCTCGACATTTTTTCATCTAAAAATAATGTTTTCCTCGGGAGATGTCACCAACTTGGTTTTCAAGATTATTAACAATTACTTTCATGCTTCAAATTATATAAAAAAAAGATTCAGAAATGTGCTGCGCTGTTCAAAATAAATGGAAAAACCCGGCCTCTCTGCCGAGGAGTGTAATTTATGTTCAGCATGAACTAGGAACGGAGGACCAAAAACAGATGGGGAAGGAAGAGGAAGAATGAAGGTGACAACGAAAAGATCATGAAGCGATATGCTAAGCCACAGGCACATATTGATGCTGCTGCTATCAGGGCAAGGTTGGGAGATTCTTTTCTGATTTCTGTTACCAGTCCTCCTTCTTGTTTTTCCAGTGTTTCATAGCAAAACTGAGTTTTTAGCACTGATGTCAATGAGATGAGGGCGGAGGTGCGATGAACAGATTTTTTTCCCAAGCATAACAGGCTGTAGAGAAGGCATAGAAATGCCTTGTGGGACAAGATGAAAAAGATACGGAGGTTGGTGGTGTTGGCAGAGGATGGACTGGAGGATGGGAACTGACGAAAGACACTGGGTCGCAGAGAGCTGCAGAGGCTGCATGAGGTAAAGGAGTTAAAAGGAAAAAATTATGAAATACACCCGTGATGCACAGAGCGATATGTCAGGCAGCAGAAACGCGGTCCAGGAAACAGCAGCGTGGCTGGTGGATGCTGCTAAGGCTGCTGAGGGTTTAGATACCCTGCAGAATGGGTTGTGGCCAAAGGGAGATTAGTCAGGAGCAGGGACAGATGGTTGCTTGGGAGCATGATGATTTTTGGTGATCAAAAGTCACGGAACACAAATCCTCATGCAATGGGGATCTATTCAGAGGATCTACAGAGATGGTGGTACAAACAAAGTGGTGGGTGATGGAGATGCTTTTGGCAGCTGTGTTTTTCAGCAACCTGTGGAATTAGTATTGACACCCAAAAGGAAGGACCCTGCGATGGTTGAGGTGGGAGCTACCACCCGTTTGAAGGACACAAGTAGGCAGAAGTGCTCACTCTGTCACAGCTCCTGAAACCCTTCTGAGCTGCAGGTTCAAGTTTTTCAGCTCCCTCACAAACCGCAAACACTTGAACCCAGCATCAGCAGGCTCTTACTAGAATCTCTTTTTCATGCCACCATTATCAGCATCTTGCACGTGGACTGGTAGAATCCATCGGTTGGTGGGATCTTTACTCTCTAAGCTCTTTCTACATTCTCCCAGTCCTTCACTGTCTCCTTCCCTCCTCCGTACCTTCTCTCAAGTCGTCATGCTCCCCATTTCACATTTTATACCCTTCCTCTCTCACTCTGACACCCCTCGTCCCTCGCTCTCATCAGCCTTGCTCTCTTCTTGACATCATGTACAAAATACGCAGAACTGATAAGACGTATTTATAGGCACATCACTTACCCAGACAAAACCTGGGTCAAACCCTTGTCTGCCGACACCTGCATAAGAGCATCGCAGTGGGCATAGTGGGCCATACAAAAGCCCATATGGGCAGCACAGTGAAAGAGCGTAGGAAGCGGGGCAGATATTGAATAAGATTTCTACTGGTTTACCTCCTAATTTCTGACCATCAGCGGTTTAAAGATTCCTTGCTCGTAGCCTGCACCCAGCTCAGTTTGGTTTTTGACATTAAGGTGGTATGGCAGGATGGGTCATTATATTACATTTGAAAAATAACAAAAGCTGTCAAACATGCCCATCACATGTATAACTCATTCTTGGTTTGTCCCCTTTGTGCCTTCTTTCTCCCCTCCAATTTTCATTGCTGAACTAGTTTTAGCATATCTTGTATTTAAAAAACAAGGGTCCACCAGGGGTCTTTATAACTAATAAAGATGTTTTTAAAACAGTCCATTTCCAGTCCTGGTCCTAGCTTATGGAAGCTGAATACATCTTGGGAGTAAAATAACTATAGCAGGATCACCCCTGCAGAAAATGTAATTTTCTTCATGAGTCTTGGTGCCATTAACATTTGTCCAGCACTGTTTTCTGGAAAACACAATGTTCTCTGAGATTTAAGACACGTGCTGTTACTGCATGGAAGAGAAATCTGAAAACAGCTGAATGTCTACTTCAGTACTTGTATTAAGCACGGAGGCTTGATCCGTGTTCCTGTACATCCTTATATTTAGCCTTGTATCTTAGGAAGACTTAGAGTCTGTCTTGTTTTCTACCTGTACGTCATCCCTTATGCTAGTAAGTTTGAAGCAGTGGATCGACTGCAAGAAAGTCTGGTGGAGCAGAAAGGTCTCAAGGATTTAATACTTCTGCATCTTTTGGTAAAACTAACAGGTGGGTGGAGGAAAGAGAGCCTCTCGGTGCTTTCAGCAGCGAGAAAAGACCACACCATGCGCTCTCTGTTCTGATCAATAAATCCATGCAGCCTGTTTGTCAGCTAGCTGCTCCCAACCCACCAGAACAGCGCTGCTCTTGCTTAGACAACGCTCGGGGAATCTGAAGGAGCACCAAAGGTCTGCTGGAAACCTAAGGAAAGAATCGGGGAACTGCGGTGACGGGGAGGTGGGTGGTGTGGCCATTACGATCCCTTGTTAGGATCGTGGGGTGGGGGTGGGATGTGGAGGATGCTTTGTGGCTTGAGGGTTAGGTGACATTGGACACAGCTCCGTGCAAACCTAGATTTCATTAGGTCTACTTTACACACACAAAACCCCCCAAACAACCACACCCCTCCCGATTCCTCCCGATTTACCCAATTTATAACTTTTTTTTTTTTTGGTAATGTTCTTTAAAGTCAATGTTTATTTCACCTTGCTGCCTGTGGCTGTGTCCACCGAACAACTCAGAACTCTGGAAAAACGTTGCTTAATCCGAAGTTACTCTGGCTCTGCATCAAAGTTACGAGAGCTGTCTGTGGAGCATTGGCTTGAGGTTGCTCCTCTGCAAAATAGCCCCAGAGATGGCTGGGCTCATAAACCCACAGAACAGGGGACTCATTGTGCTCTGCGACCCAGAAACTTTCATCTCCCTCCTCCTCTATATAGGACAGGAAAATGTGAGCCACAAAATCCATGAGTAGCAAATTAAACAAATGCCAGGATCCTAGGTTTAAAGAAAAACAAAAATAATTTTACCAACCTCTTCATTTGCTTATCTTCATGATGTGTTCTTTTTTGAAGGGCTTCATTATAGCAACAGGCTAGACAAAGTACCAGACTAGCAATCATCAAATAGTACTTACAAAATTATGTACTTCCAAATATCACAGCAAAATAGGCACCAGCTGCAGATTTTAAACATAAACAAAAGCCTTTTCCCCTTATTTTAGCTAGAGAGGAAAGTGTACTTGTGTTTATTCGCTTTCCTGTTCAAGTTCTTCCCCCACATTCACTGCTACTACAGGGCTTATCAACAACCACATATCATCCCCATTCTCCGCTCGGTCAGATAAATAATTCCGCCTCTTCCCAAGCAAACTCTCCTACAGATGTCTGTATGTCTTGTATCTATGACATTAAGTGGCCTACCTTGCAGCTTGGGGCATAGCTGCTGAAAGCCAAGAGAGACTCACTGAGGCCATTGACTTTTGAATCATACCTTGGTTGAAAGCCCTTACAGTAAAGAGTAGGTCTTCTTCCATGCCATAGATCTGCATAGGAATTCATCAAGCAATTCATAACCTCTGCGTCCCACAAACACATTTACATGGACATCAGCAAGGAGATACCACAATTTATGTGAACGACCAAGGTTTACAGAGCTTTAAAAATGAAAAATACTGTCTCTTTCGATATTACATGTGTCTGAGAAGCTGCTGCTTCTGCTGTTTGTCCTTTTGCGCATCTTTAAATTATAGCAAAGGAAGTGGAAGTACTTGTTTATCTACGGGACAAGGAAAGGGACTTCTATACTTGGAGTTCAAACTGTACAGACCTGACACCAGTAGTCCATGAGTGTTTCTAACAGTCTTACAGGATTTTCAATATATTCAATAAGACTAAGCATGAAACAAAAGCTACCACTCCAGCTGTCCCCTGGGATAATACAAAGGGACACAGGTTTGAAGAGGGAGTAGGCTGAAGCAGCTTGCTTGCGAAAGAGGAATGTACAGGTCACTGTCCAGCCAGCGTGGCTCAGCAATACATCCCTGAATGCCTCGGAAGGGAGACCGGTAAGGAAATGGAGGTGTACCAGCTGATGTGAAGCTCTGTGATGGAGATATGTAGAGGCACATTTGCTGGAGAGGAGGTGGAGCTGAAAGAACTGTAGAGGTCCCATTAGCTCCGACCGCTGTAGCACACTTGCCCCCTGCTGCCTTACAGGTAGCACGGTTCCTCTGATCATACTTGGGCATCACCTGTGTGGAGGCTGGGCTGGAAAAGGGTAAAAGTCAATCCTAAATTCAGAAGTGTTTGGTTTTGGTACTGGTATGTGGTTTATTTTGGGGGGGGGCACACTGCATTAACATGATGCTCACCCATTTCCCTAAGTAACTGTGTTTCCTCAGTGTGGTTGCTGCATATTTCGACTTGCAGGATGCCCTCCATTCCTGAAAGAAATGCTGAGATTTAAGAAATTTCTGAAAAGCAATGACCCTGAGTACAGAACTTCTACACCAGATGGCTTGTTAACGTAATGGCTTCAGCCTTGTCCACTAAAACTCAAAATCCTACTGGAATAGAAAGATGGGAAAGAAGGGACATTGATAGGTCATATAGCCCAACATCTTAAGGAACCAAGGGTATTAAGAAAGAAGATAATAATGATTAATTGGAGCATCACAGAGAAAGATTAAAAGACATTTTTTAACTCTCATATGTGAGAATAAATTTAATCCTAGTGTTACTGATGTATAGTAGGAAGACTGTCATAAGTGGGATGAAAATATCATTTGTAACTAGTTTAAGGAAGGCTCAGCAGAGGAAGAGATGCTCTCCATCAGTTGCGTCCCCAACCACCGACAATTGCAGGAGGCAATTCATTAAACTCTTCTTGTGGTTGAAGGAGGGAAGAGGATTTCATCATCGTGGGGAATTTCAATAAACATTATCCTTCCAGTGCTGTACCTGGAATTAATTCCTAATTTCCTCGTTGCCCAAAATATTGCATGTAACATTGGAGAGTTTTGTGCAGAACTCCTCTGGAGAGAGAGAAAGGAACGATTATTTTATTATTACTGTAATGCAGCAGCTGATGGACAAGGGACCCTACTGTGCTATGTTCCCCGCAGACACAGAACAAAACTGTGATCCTGCTCCAGAGAGTTTGCAATCTAAATATAAGGCAAAAGGTAGCAGCTAGATGCGGAAAAGGGGTGCGCACATACATGCACAAACACTGACATTAGCGGGGGAAGAATACTGAAGAATACAAAAGGCAGCAACCTTAACATACCCCTTTGTTATGTCTTTGTAGGAAACACATGAAAGTACGGTTTTGAAGGGGAATTTCAAAGAAGATAATGAGGTTTTCTTTGGCTATTTGTGTGAAGCCCCATCCAACAGAAGAGGAAAAAATATGAAGGTGCTCCTTTGAAAATCTAAAAAGCGGTTCATACAGTTTGGGAGCAGATGCTACTCACAGGAGATGGTGCATTTCTGCAGAAGAAATAATAGAGAGAGCCTCTGAAAGGTTTTACAAATGAAGAGAAGGGCAGGTAGGGTTGATGCAATGTAGAAAGAGAAGAGACTGAACTGATTCAAGGCGTGGTTGTACCACTTCAAGCCACTTGGAGTGAATGTGACTGCACAGTGCCTTTGCTTCTCTTGCCTTGCACTAGCGTGGGATGGATTTGATGCTTGACAGCTCAGAGCCCTAAAACAGAGAGAAAACTAACCCAGCTAAAGGAGTGACTAGTTTTCAGTCAGTTTAACACCTTAAACAGGCTTGCTGCTGGCTAGGCAAGCACTTACGTCGGTGTAAGGCATAAGGAAAAGGAGCATATAGCTCTTGTCAGAGGAACTGACTGCCTTTTTGGCAAGTAGTTGCCACAGTGGCTCTGCTCTGGCTGTATTATACAGGAGGAACCTGAAGGACTATCGATTATTTCTATCACTTGAGAGATCTGGAGGTTTTATGGTTTGGGATATTAGTGGCCCCAGCTCTTCATCACACCCTTCTGCTGGGATGTGCAGCTTTTGCAGGGAGGGAGAGCAGAGGCTCATATCTCGGGCTGCTGTTCCCCATATTTCCACAGACAAATGATGGCTTCTGCAGAAGGAGGGAGTCCTGCCCTTCCCACCATCTCCAGCTGCATGCTCCTACTTTCCTCCTACAGTTTGGATCAGAAAACAAATCTGGTTGAAAACTAACTGTTTCATTTCCCTGACCTGGCTAGCTACATCACCAGGCGAATGGTGCTGCTTGATGCAAGGAAGGGAGTAGGAAGAAGTGATGCCCTTATTGACTGTAGCGTGAATTTATGTCAGTTAAAATGATCTGGTGCCTCTGCCGTCTCAGGGCAGAAAGGGGTGCGTCAGATGAGAGTCACAAAGATCCTACTTACCAAAACTGTCTGCGTAGTTGAGGG